GGGGGGGGGGGAGCAAGTTGACGACGACGAGAGACGAAGAGAAAAGAACGTGGGGGTCCGATAGAAGCCAGAGAGATATGTACAAAGAAGAAGAAAAGAGAAAGAAAGAGAACGATCCGGTTGTAGCTACTAGAACCCAGATTCCCCAGGGGCGGTCGAGCTTACAGCGAAATGAAAGCTCCACTTCCATCCGCATCCTCATATTGGAGTAGCTTGGTGCATATGGTAACACGTGGATCCAAAGGAAACAGCTGCCCATCCGAATGGCGAGATCCGATCGACCCTGAAACCAGATCCAACAATTTTTCGCCTAAATTACCCCCCGAACTCACTGAGCGATCAGAAGTCACGGAATTAATCAGGATTCCCATATCAGGGACGTAGACCATTTGGGAACCACAGGGTGCCCCGCTGGGAGCAACTATACGGGCCACTGAAAGTCACCGCCTTACTGCCAGACAACCACCCCCTATGAAATACGTGGCGCCGTCATACATCCCGACGTCTCCTGGTGCGTTCTCGCAGCGCAGATCTTAATGCGGTTTACCGCAGTCGTCGGACTCTGGTTCCTGGCTCGCGACCCCTTCAGCCATTCATCCCCTTAGTTATGGTGAGATCGAATCTGAAATTCTACCCTCGGTCTTACTTTGGCAGCTACGAGAACGGGACTCCCTTGAGGGTACTAATTACGAGAGAGTGAATAATTACGGTAGGGGATATTTCTACCCTGTTCTTGTATCTCAGCGGGACAGCCAGTGGATAAGCTTTTATGTTTTCTAATCGATTTTTCAGGATGGAAATTATTTTTTTTTTTTTTTTTTTTTTTTTTTTTTTTTTTTTTTTTTTTTTTTTTTTTTTTTTTTACAACCGTCTCGACTACGGTTACTCATCCCCTGGGAACTTTACTATACCGTCACCGCGATTGCCGCCACGAAAGAGACACAAATGGCAGTCAATGTTTTCCCATTTCAAGGTTCGTGAATTTCCTTGCGGCTGAGACAGCCAGCCTTCAGCTGACACCGTCTCCTCTCGAAGGTATCGTTTCGAAAGTCGTTCTCTGTAATTCCGAGGATGCTTTCTATCGCTTCCAGACAGTGTTGAGTCCATTTACTCATTAAAGGATCAAACTGACCTTATACATTAAAGGAAAATTTTTAAATAAATGAAGTTTGCTTTTTCATAATTTTTCACACATCATATGCTATATTGACTTGACACTTAATACAATTGCTTCTAGATATTCTACTATAATTTAAAAAAAAAAGACCTACAGACGCTCTGGATGATCCAGAAAACTCATATGCTCCCTGAGATCAAATCTCAATGATCTCAACATTATATACAATGAAATATATACCGGGTGAGAGTTTTATTAAAATTTAGTAAGACTGCCGAACGATGACATCAAGTTCCGCTGCATTTATCCAAATCCGTACGTACAATTCAACTAACAGAGCAATCAAACTTGTTAAATTAAGTTCCACTGGTAGACAGCCAATCCGAAGTCGCTGAATTTCAAGGATATCCCCAGTGGTTCAAAACGTACAAGCAAGGCCTCCTGCACACGACTACACGACTGACACGACTGACACTACTGGTTAACATACTAATTACGAGATCGTTCACCTGTCGCAGATACATAGAAACCCTCTATGGCCATTTACCTGCTAACAACCCGGTGCTTCGTCCAAAGTTACGGCACCTGTTACGGATGCAAGATCAATTTACCTTTGCTACTCATTTTCTCATAATTGACAAAATTGAATTAGCCAATGCACGGTACGAAAACGCTGAATCCGATGTCGACGGCTTTTAATTACGTAAATCAAAGCGAAGTGTCATAAGCACACTTGACACGTTTTAATTGAAAAAATAGGAAAAGTAAGGATAACGAAAATAAGGTTGCAAGGTAAGAAAGTAAGGAAAAAATACGGATTGCCTGCGGGGTTTAATTAGGCGGTAAAAAAAAAATAATTAATAACTGCCCTTGAACCAGAGACCAACAAGAACCCAGACTGAGTCTCTTGAAGGAGGCGCGACAATTGGTGTCTCGAGCTTTTACCAGAGGTCAGAGGACAATAGGTTATGGAAGCTGCGTCGAGGTCGAATGATTTCCCATGGGATCCTAATT